GAGTCTGAATACATCAAATGGATTAATCTTATGCGGTTAAGTAGTAAGCAGCTAAACATTTTTAGTTTCAGGATTAGCTCGAGAAAGTGGAGAAGCTATTTCAATATCTTGCGTGAGATATGATTCGTCAAACCGCCTCATTTCAAAATCTCGGTACCACGTCTTCTGCCCAGAGTTGGGAGATGGGATTGTTGTGGTTCATTAATGATGTGCAGGTCCTCATGCTGACTTCAAGAGCACTCGGAGAAAATTTATCGAAGAGAGGAAGACTCACTAACTGATCAGTTGTTTGTACACTGGCAATACGCTATTTCGTTAACGTTCCTTGTTACAGATTAATACCACCACCAACTATCACAGACAGAAAGTGTTCGGTGCAGACACTATTGAATTGACGTGGGTAGAGCTACACTCTGGGAAGGTCAGGTGGGAATGGTTTTGGAGAGGTTCTCTTAAGCTTTGTATAGATAACTTGANAAGGTCAGGTGGGAATGGTTTTGGAGAGGTTCTCTTAAGCTTTGTATAGATAACTTGAATAGTGCGTACCAGCCTTTCTATATGACTAGAATTTTCTGATGGCGATTACTCCGTCGCATCAATGAGCTACGGTCACGAGTTATGAAGCTATTGAGTTCACATGATTTTAATTTTGTTCCAGGAGATTGTCGTGGAAGTTTCGAGGATTTGGACTTTGGAAGGTCGAGGACATGGAACTTGATCGTACGTTTACAACTGTTCGATCTCAGTTTACCTTTTTTGATTTTTAGTTTCTCAAAGAGTATTCACTGTTTCCTTGTCTTGAATATATCCTTTTAAGTGAATAAGTAGCAGGTAATAACTAGTGTTTAGCAGAAGCTTATTTTGTTTTTCTAGATTATAGGAAGGAGAGTAATCTGCCACTGTGTGATGGAGGATCAGATCAACGACGATGGAGGACAAGGATACCCCTTTCCCATCCCTCCCAGTGCTACCGATGCCTGAGGGTCCCAGACTTACCGACCGTGCCGT